TCTCCTCCTCCTCCATCTCATCTCCTCCTCCATCTCCTCTCCTCCTCCATCTCCTCCATCTCCTCCTCCAGTGCCCTCTGCCGCCACAGAACCGCCGCAGCAGCCCCCGCAAACACCCCCCAGGTTCCCCTGAAATCTCACAAATCACAGAATACGCTGAGTTGGAAGGGACCCACCAGGATCATCGAGTCCAACTCCTGGCCCTGCACAGGAATGCCAAGAATCCCAAAATGTGCCCAGGAGTGTTGTCCAAACTCCGAGGGACTTGGTGCTGTAATCGCTGCCCTGGGGAGACAGTTCAGTGCTCACCCAYCCTSTAGGTGAAGAACCTTTTCCTGAGATCTAACCTAAACCTCAGCTGACTCAGCTTCRTGCCATTTTCTYGAGTTCTGTCACTGGTCATGACACTGAAGAGATTGGTACCTGCCCTTCTGCTTCCCTTCTTGAAGAAGCTGAAGAGCACAATGAGATCTGACCTCAATCTCTTCTTCTCCAGGCTGAACAAACCAARTKACCTYAGTGCTCCTCATAAGGCTTCCCCTCCAGCCCTTTCATCATCCTCACTGTCCTGCTCTGGACCCTCTCTAACAGCATCATGTGGTTTTATATTCAGTGCCCAAAACTGTGTGCAGTATTCAGGTGAGACCCCATCACTGCTGAGCAGAGAAGGACAATCACCTCCTTTGCTCAGCTGTGCTTAYTGCAGCCAACAAAAATTCCATCCAACTCATTCCATTCCAGCCAGGCTCATGGTACCAGAACACTGCATCTTGTAGGTCAAAAAGCCTCATCATTAGAATTTTATTTGACATGTGTGACAGTACAGCAATGAGAAAAATTTAACGTTTGGAGATAGTGGCTGCTCCCGGCATAGAATAATTCAGGGACCCGTAATATCTCAAGTTCATCAGAGTGGTTCCTGCTTACAGGAACTCTCAGCACACAAATGTCATCAGAATGCTCTAGCTGACCAAACTCAAGTCACCTACATCATCAAACCCATCAGCACACTGACCCACAAAGAGCGATCTCTTCTTAAGCTTCCAAAACTGGGCAAAGTCTGCTCCAGTTTTAAAGAGCCAGGCCTTGTAAAATTCTCAGCAGTTACTCAGAATAGCAGATTTCTTAAATTTCAAAGGGGAAAGCAAGTCACATACAGCAGAGCTGTTTGCTGACACCCACCCAGGGAAATAAAAAGCCATACACTTCAATCCAGTTGCGTTCAGAGGAGCATTTAAGCACTTAAAACTTGTACCAAAGACCCTATTAAGCATTAGGCCTTGTTTAAATAGGAGATTTGCCAAACACGCCTTTTATACTGAATCAGACCTCTGTGGTCTACTGCAAGCCAGCCACAAAAAGCAATGGTGCCAACCAAAAGCAAAGTGCCCTGCCACGCCTAAATGAGGATGTAAGCTGTGCAGCAGTCGTTTCCAGTTACTGTTTGCTTTGCTTTCCAACCTCCAGCTGCCTCCTCATGTCCGACACATCCATGGGGACCCGCACTGTCACACCRTCCATGGACTTCTTAACGTGCACCTGGCAGCCAAGGCGTGATCTGAGAAGAAAACATGAAGTGAGGCTCGTCTGKTCCCACAGTAAAGGGAGAAATTCCCCACCCTCACTGGGATGTCTGGTCTGGGATGTGCTTCCACCAAAGCTCCTGTTAAAGATGGCCTGTGCCCCAGAAAAAGCAGCTCTCAAGGCACAACCTCAGCACAGAGCAAGCCCCATCCCCTTGGAAGGAGGTGCCACGTGGTGAGAAAGCAGGGAGCCTTACGTGTCAGTGAGGCCATATGCCAAGTCCAGCATGTCTAGCTCTTCATCTGAGATGGCATCAAGCTTCTGGAAGGCTTCCTTGTCAAAGATGAGGTGACAGGTAGAGCAGGCTAAGGTCCCTTCACAAGCACCTGGTGGGGAAACGAGGGAATGACAGCAAATCAGGAAAAACAAGGGGTGAGAGAGACCATCTTCGGGAACAGGGTGAGGAAAGGTCCTTTCATAGATCTGCAGCGCGTCAAAAGAGATGCCAGCAAACACCACAGAAGGATGYAGTTTCCAGCCTGCCTCTTCTCTGGGAGAATCACAATCCGTTTCCAAATTTTTACATCAGTTCTATCCAGCCAAATGCACKGACAGAGGCTGCTGGAATGCCAGTGGTGACTGTGTGAGGCTGCAYTGCCATCTCAGCATGGTGAGCCAGCCTGCCAGCAGCTGCTGGGGAAGGGAAGCCTGTTCATGGTCTTGGCAGAACACAGAGACATCTGTGCTTTGCCCTATTCCCAAGTACCCACTGCCCCTAAAAGCACATGGACAGATCCTCCAGCAGCACCTACCAAATCCATCAATGGCCAAGTTTTGGTTGACTACCACTTCCAGCAAACTCTCCCCTTCTTTGGCTGTGGTTGTAAGTTTCTCTCCATCCCGATTTATAAAATGCACWGTCACCTGGTCCTCAGAGCTGTAAGACAAATTTGCAAAGTCAGAGGAGTTCAACCTTTTCTGCACAACRACTAAGGCATTTTGGCTGAGTGCTAGAGACATGGCACTTAGAAATGTGCATGCAAACACTTTCTCCAAGGATTACACCACACACATTGCAAACAATTCAAATTATCAGTTCTCGGTGGCAGGCAAATCTGAGTTGCCCCAATGTATTTCCCACTTTATCAAAAACAGTCCTCAGAATAAATGTCTGTCTGTGCACAAACAAGTGCAGGTGCTCTGTGGAGGGAACATGTGCAGGCAGGCAAAGCATTTGCTGGTCCCAGGCCTGGGATGTTAATCCTGGTAGAGTGATGTAATAACAAGCAAAGTGCTCAGGATCAGACACTAATCCTGCAAGAAGGGCTGCTGTCATTCATGTGTTGTTTCCCCTTCCCAAGGGGATTACTTAATRATTGTTCCTTTCTGCTGTTTTTCTTCCATGAAGTGCCCACTCCTTTCCTGAGCTCCTCATGGGGATCGTTCTTGTGGTGAGACATGCTCAGCCCCAGCTTGCAGAGCTACTGGGCTGAGTAACTTCCTCTGAGCTGATGTGATCCTCACTTGGGAAAAATTACTAGTTATTTTGACAGCCTGCAAGATTTCATCGGGCCCAGAGTTAGGAACATGGCCATCAGCTTCTCTTAATGGTAACTTGCAGAAAGGGCATCTGAGAGGGAAACAGCACCCACTTCATCTCTTCCTGAGCTGACTCTTACACCAGTCTGGAGAAGGCAGTTACCCTGACAGCTGTGTTCAGGATTTCTGACAGTAAGAAGTGTATTCTGAGACTGGTATATTTGCCAGAGGAAGCACTGGTTTTTTTGGGTTTTTTTTTTTCTTCATAGTGTACGTAGCRAATGCTTACTTTATAGGAAGTTCCAGTTACCCAAAGACCCCACCTCCTGTGCTGAAAGGAGGCAGCACCCTGAAGGCTGTTGGGTTTTTTACCCTATAACTCCCAGAGTGGCACTGCCCAACTGCCCATCATCCCAAAGCCTGGGGCATTCTCCAGGGGCAGGAGCTGGGCACACCTTCTCTTTCACAGGCTGACAACATACACTACAGTGACATTTGCTTCATAAAGACAGATAATTCTTTGTAAATAAACCATTTAAAGACTAGTTCTCAAATGTCAAAACAAAATAAAATAATCCTCTTCATTTCTGATGGATCAGAGTAATTTATTCCATTTGTATGGCAAATGGGCAGGTTTCCAGGMAATGTTTGGTTTATCTTTATGGGTGAAATAATTTGTTACACAATAGAAATGGTAAAGTGATAAAATTTCTCTTGGTGCTGCAACTGAATGGATTCTTCAACAGGATAATGAGAGCTGACTGCCTACAGAGACTGCTGGATCCAAAAATCCCCAAAGCTGTCCACACATTTACTGACAGAAAACTTAATTCATGTTATCCTTCAGGCACCTAGAGCTTCAACAATGTATGCCAACTGATTACTCCCTTTCAAAAACCAAAATCTCAGACCTTCTGTGACACAAGCAATTCCTGAAGGAGGTTTCAAGAAAGCAGTTTTTTCTAGCTGTCAATGCTTTCCCTAAAAGATACTTTCCAAGGCCATACAAACCAGAGATAACTTCATAAGCAACTAACCAATTAGAAAGAAATCCCATTGATGAGGAGTCTTCATAAATCCCATAAAGCAGGGGTTATCACAATGACTTTTCTCTAAGGTCAGATAGCAAAATTGTTTATTGTCCTTTCTGTGATGTTGGTTGGATCTCTCTCAATGCCATCGCAGATTACAGTCTGACCCCGATTATAAAATAAATGCAATTTGTAGATCTCCTAGACTGGTACAATCTCTTCCTGAACTATCCCTAAAGCAGAGAGAGGAAAGGCTGGCAGTAGTTGTTGCTGTGGAAATGAGCCAAAGGACCAAAGTTGTGCCTCTTTGTCACCTTCCCAAGCTGGTTCCCAGCCACTGGCTGTGGTCCCCACAGCTCTGGAGACAAGTGCTGGCACCTCTAAAAGGTCCCCACAKCTCAAGGGACAGGAAGCAGCACCTCCCTGCCATCAGCATCTGCTGACCCAAAGCTGTGCTCTCATCCCCCAGCTCACCCAGGCCATGGCAGCACTGGTCCCTTTTGTGTCCCCGTTGCCCGTTTGACTCACCTCGATTGCCCGGGGACATCCTGCAACCTGAGYGTGGAGCTGAAACCTCTCTCTGAGCCCTTTGCTGGGCTGTGATGCTGCTCAGCCACACTCCAGAGATAAATGAGGTGGGTTTTGCTCGCCTTCAGCCCGCTCCTCAAGGGTCGCATCAGCCCCAGGATGCCGGGAGCCGTCATGCTGGTCCTGCTCTGAGCCTCCTGAGCTGCCCTTTGCTGCAAGGACAGCTCGCTTAGGGACTTATAGTGCRGCTGGGGAGGGTGGGGGGAAGGAAAGGGGAAAACAGAAAGAGTAGGACAGCCTCCCTGGGGGTGGAGGGAGGGAGGGGAAGCAGGAAGGGAGGATGGACRAAGGGTTTGTGCCTGGATCTTGGTGCAGTCCAGCCCATCGGGGCAGGGGAATTGGTTGAAGAAGCATCCCCTCCCCATGCCAGTTACTGGCAAATGCTCACTTTGTTCTCCTTACAGGCTTCCTTTGTAAGAGCCAGAACTAAATCCAATTTCAGGAGAAATATTCCTTGTAATGTCTCATCATACAAGGAGTTGCAAGTTGAGGGCTGGAAGGACAGGCAGGAGCACTGCTGCCTTGGGGAGAGGGGCACAAAACTTTCTACAGCAACAGGGTGAAAGCAACTCTTATTAATTCTGCTTGAATTGATGGTATCCAGCCACATCCTTGCCTTACCCAATACAGCACTGGGATTTCTCTGCCATCCTACTCCTCAAAACCAGTTTATTTCAAATGATTTGCAGAATATCCTTCAAAKGCTTCCCTCCCCACCCTTGCTTTTATCACAGACGACAGCTTACAGTGAGGCCAGTAATTCATTTTAGCTAACCACAGCTCTGGCCAGTGTCCCTGCTCTGTGGCCACTCACTCTCAGGTYAACTTTTCCAGCTGGTTTGCTCTCTCCCACGAACTGCCCTGAATGCTTCAGCTTTCAAAGCCAAATTCTTGAGCTCCATCTCAACCCCCAAACTTAAAACCACTCAGTTCAGCCTCTGCAGCTGAGAGACTCTGACCAGTTCTGCCTTTGCTTTTCGGGCACTACAGAGATACAGCAGCCAGCCCAGTTCTGTCTCTCAGTCATTTCCATGGCAGGAAAGCAAGGCTTGCCATGAGAAACACAAGGAAAGGGGCCACAGCACATACAAACCACAAAGCATCTTATCTCTCCAGCAAACCTTGAGCTGAGAGAGATACATGAGATATTTGCACAGCAGCWTTCACAGCAAGGACATTTGTGTTTGTCTGGCACTGACTCCTCTCCTTGCCAGGAATCAGAGCACAGCAAGTGACAGGTCAATGTCACCTGATGGAAGAGAGGCCAGCACAGAGAGGGAAATCAGGGAGATGAGGTGCAGCAAAGGGGACAACTGCTCCCTGGTGAAAGCAAAACAATTCTGCCAGCGCAGGAGACAACCAGGCCCTTACAGATCTTGGATAGTCTGCTTTAAGGTCTTTGAAATACTGAGAATGGCAAGGAAATCTTGCTTCTGCCCCAAGTAAATCAGTGTTCATTTAGCCAAGAAAATAGAAAGCTTTGCAAAAAATAGCAAAAAT